ATTATTTTTACCCAAACCAGTTAGGGTAAACAATGTTATCCCTAACACCGTCGTCCTCATATGGATGGTTTCTTGGCAGTAGATACCTTGTCTGATGTTGGCTCAACTACAGTAGTAGTGTCCAATTGGCCCACTCCTCGAGAACGTTCAGGAAGTTACCGAGAACGGTCAGTAGCTCTTCCATGGCCTGTTGGCAATTGTTGCTGTTTGGTTACCCGCAAAGGAGGAATCGGGCACTCCGCTGCCCTATGTCCAGGCTGGTTACATCTAAAACACCTGAACAACCCCCTTCCTTGCTGAGGTTGAGGCATTATGGGCCTAGATGGGTTTGGTCTGGAAGGCCCTCTCCGCATTCCTAATCCAATATCACTTTGTATCTTCAAGCGACGTAAACCAGAATCCAACTCTATGGCCGCACAATACCAGTCCTGTAACCTTGTGGGCAAACCCCTGTACAAACAGGCTTGTCCTAAGTCCCGGTCCAGTCCCTCCCAAAATAAGTGGACCAGCATCCTCTCCAGACAAGTATGAAGTCTCCCGGCTGCCCTCCTAAATTCCTGGACATATTCCCTAACTGGACGCCCATGTTGTCTCAACGCTAAGAGATCATCTTCAGCCTGCAGTACTTTCAACGTATCTTCAAAATGATGCCTTAGGGCCTCTAGGAAAACACCTACATCAGCCAATACTGGTGAGCGTTCCCTGTGTAGATCAGCTGCCCATTCCCCGGCTTCCCCCTCCAACACTCCTTATGGCCACCACCATGGCCCAATGAGAGGGATAAAACCTGCCATATAAATCTAAATGGTTGATAATTTGGCCCAAAAACACAGCCACCCTATCTGCGTTCCCATCGAAAGTAGCTTGCAATGGAGGAGGACCCCATCTACCCTGGGACGGGCCCCATGTTGAACCAGGCATTCCCTTGGAACTGCTCCATGACCTACTGGGGTCCTGGCACTCTTCTCCACAACTCTCCTCTTGTGTATCTGATGTTCTCCTTCCAGGCAACTCCTTTTGACCAGGGCGTGCAGCTATGGTATAAAACCGTCGGGATTGTAACTCATAACATTCAAGGGGTTTGCTTACATCTGCCCCTACAATCCCCACTGAGTTGGAACTACTTAATGGTTTACTTACAGACCTATAACTAGGTTTCCTAGTGGGACCCTCCTTTACATATGTGCCAGGAGAATCTTGTAATGACACTTCCCCAAACTGTGTCCTTAATATATCCAGTGTAGTGCTACCAGGCACGGTCCCACCACTATCTTCGAAACTGGGCTATTTCCACACCTTCCAGTCTTCAGCTGAACCAGGGACGTGGGAACTGCACTGCGATCGCCAGTCATCCATCTCCACCTGCTCCACTGATTCACTCAAACGAACTGACTTTCGGGACTTTGGTCTCACAACTGGTGGTGGTACATTCACAGTCAATGCAGGTTTGTCAGGCTCAGACTCTCCCTGACCTGCTTCTACCTCCTCCACCAATTCTTCACCCTCAGCTGCTGGCAAAAGCTCAGGTTCTGTTCCTCACCCATATCTTCCTTTAGCCAGCAATCAAATAAACAGCCACTATTTCAGAGTAATGTAGAAGGGAGTGCTAACCTCTCAGCCAGTCTTCTGAAAGCTCGCAGATTTGCACACAAACCCCCATACAACAGCAGAAAGCAGGGTTCAAGGTGTTTAATGTCAAACAACAAACTTCCCATCCGGCAAGAAAGGCATACAATCCGGTCTAGGTTAGCACTGGAAGCTTCTGCCTTCCAATGCTATTTAAAGGTATAAACACACCCACCTAAACGCTCCTATCTCCTGTACTCGCCCCTAATTATCCCCTTAATTACCCTCTAGGTCACCATCCAGTTATACCTAATATGTCCATTGTTTCCTATCTCTGCAATCTATATTTCGCCTATGAACCCTACTTACTCGTGAGTAAATTATATACCCAGATTCCCCACCCCATCATCCGTTGCAGCACTACAGTCGATTCCAAAAACTGCAAAAGGACAGGGGGTTTCCCGGATTCCCCTTCTCGTCACTGTTGACCATCCTGCTCTGCCGACGATGCACCTGACGCAGCTAAACAATCCCAGAAGTATATAGTGTCAGGCTTCAGCAGCTCTTGCAAGCATGCTGATGGGCTCAGTTTATCTATCAACACGAATGGAGCCCAACACATCCATCTATCCATTCATATATCTCATTCACTTTCTCCTCCCTCTCTCTCTTTCTTTCTTTCTTTCTTTCTTTCTTTCTTTCTTTCTTTCTTTCT